AGGAATGCAAATTTTCCATATTCTGCATTCAGTAAATACACTAGTAAAGGCATAGAATTGCAATCGTCATATTTAAAAATATCTTTACTTAAAATAGCATTTCTGATAGAAGAATATTTTGGGGGTGGGGGGATTCTTAATTTGGGTTAAATCTCATATTTTAGTGATTTATATTCTGGTATTTAAAATGATTAAAGACATGCATGTATAAATTACCATATTCAGGATGCATTTAAAAATCTAAAATACAGATACAGCCCAGTTCAGTTAAGAAAATAACTTGCATATGTTGAATTGTAAATGGTCTAGCGGTATTCCTAGCCCTTGCTCATTTTGTCTGGGATAATTTGTAATCAAGAAGGTTTATTTTCATTCACTAACTCTAGGAAATTAATGATTACAGATACCATGAAAGTCAGTTTTCAGATCATGACTGGCCTATTCATAATAACTTTGAAGCTGATGAAGTTCAGCGTGATCCAAGGGCTCTTTCTGATGTCACTGATGAGGAAGAAGTGCAAGTAGATCCTCGCAAATATTTGGATGGAGATCGTGAAAAGTATCTGGAGGATCCTGCTTTTGACACGCACTTCTCTACTGAGCCTTGCTGGCAATATCCTGATCACCATGAAAACAAGTACTGTGATCTGGAATGTAGCCACACTTGTAATTACAAAATGAGGTCATCTTCATACCTAGATAACTTAGTTTGGCGAGATAGTGAAGTTAACCATTACTATGAGCCCAAGCTTATTATAGATCTTTCTAACTGGAAGGAGCAGAGTAAAGAGAAGTCTGATAAGAAAGGCAAGTCAAAATGTGAAAGGAATGGATTGGTGAAAGCTCAGATAGCTCTTGAGGAAGCATCACAGCAGCTTGTTGAAAAAGAAAGGGAGAAGAATCAAGGGTTTGACTTTGATTCATTTATAGCAGGAACCATTCAACTTAGTTTACAACATGAGTCTACTGATGTTGATAAATTAAATGACTTGAATAGCTCAGTGTCCCAACTGGAATTGAAAGCCTTAATATCAAAGTCAGTAAGCAGAGAGAAACAGGAAAAAGGAATGGCCAATTTGGCACAGTTGGAAGCTCTGTACCAAACTTCTTGGGATAGCCAGTTTGTAAGTGGAGGGGAGGAGTGCTTCCTCATAGACCAGTTTTGTTGTGAAGTCAGGAAGGATGAACAAATTGAGAAAGAAAATACTTACACCAGTTATTTGGACAAGTTCTTTAGTAAGAAAGAAGATACAGAAATGCTAGAAACTGAGCCAGTAGAAGATGGAAAGCTTGGGGAGAAGGAAAGAGAAGAGAGCTTTCTTAGTAACAGTGGGGAGTTTCTCTTTAACAAGCAGTTAGAGGCTATAGGTATCCCTCAGTTTCACAGTCCTGTTGGTTCACCACTTAAATCAATTCAGGCCACATTAACACCTTCTGCTATGAAATCATCTCCCCAAATTCCCCATAAAACATACAGCAGCATTCTGAAACATCTAAACTAAAACACTCAGCAGACATTTTTTTGTATTCTTCATGAGATGTTTGTCTTTTTTTTTATTATTACTAGTGTAAGTAATTTTTTTACTTGAATCAGATGGTGTAATTTTGGTATGGATTTCATTAGCGTTCTGTTTACCATCATTTTTACAATCCCAGAATTACTTTCTATACATGAGTTAGTTTTTTGTTTTTAAACTGGCATGTCGTTTGCACACAAAATTAAAGAATAGAGCAGAATAATGCAAAATGTAGGAGGAAACAGAAAAAAATGCACTAAACCAAGTAAAAACATTCTGTCAGTAAAACAGTTGTCCATGTTTTGCAGAAAAAAGAATCTTGCCTTGAAATTTACACAGTGAGACTGTACATAATTGCATGAAAATATCTATTTTTTCCCTGAAACATTTTTTCATTCGTGTATTAGTTTTTCATACTGTATACATTTCTTAGACACATGATACCAGCAGCAACTGAAAATGAATGCAGAATTTGGTACGCATGTGTTATCTACCTCAAGGTAACAGCAGTATGTGGCAAAACATTAACCACCCATAGTGCTTCTCATATGCACTTCTCTTTAGCCAGCATTATTATAGTAGCTATTTTTCCTGAAAAATCATTCAATATTTATAAATGTTCTGGTATGCATTCTTTATAGTGAAGTGTTAATATGTGGCACTTTTATTTATTTTAACAAATAAATATGTTTTCTGTAATTACAGAACGTCAACTTAAGTTTTGAAGTTACTTGGCAGATAAGGTTTTTGTTTAGCACTATGGTTTATTGCCTACATAGCTGAATATATAATAACATTGGCTTATTCTGAGGCTGTCCAATACATTTTTTTTTTAAAGTTTTCATTTCACGTAAAGCACTCACTGTGTATAGGAATTTGTAATGTGGGGGTGCTTGATCTCTCTACAAAAATTAGGAATTGCTTTATCATAAAATGCTCCTAGAAGTCTTAATTGTGTTCATTTTAAAAAAAAATTTGTAATGTTAGTTGTCTGCATGGAAATAATTAAGGTACATTATTATTGTAGGTTAAAAGTTATATATGGTGAGACATTTTGCTTTTACTGTATGTTTTTACTGAATAATTCCCACCCCCAAAACAAGCATGAATAAAATTAGGTTAAATGTAGCGTGTAGCATCTCGGTCTTCTGGAAATTTGTTTTACCTTTTTTTTTTGTTTTGTTTTTTGTTTTTTTGGGATACTGTATTATTGGCTCCCCTCTTTAAAGAAAGACAAATAAAACATGGCCAGCAAAAAATGACTCTTGTTTCACTACTTGTACAATGAAAATTACCTGCTGCATTGTAACTTAGGTAGATGTCACCATTTATATTGTGGCCCGTGTGCCTGCCCCCAGTTTTAAATGGTTTCTGTTGCACACTCAGCCTGTGATGACTTGAGTGTTGCCCACATACAAAACAAAACTTAACTTGGTAGTGGAAACAAGTCCTAGGTGGTATATTCCTGGAACTCCTACTGTAGCAGTATCCTGTAATATTAAATGTATGAAGGTCACAAATGTGATGTACTGAGACTATAATGTTTGGAGGCAGGTGAGCAGTAGCTTCTGTAATCCAATTGATGAAAATTCAGTTATTGTGGGTGAAGATCTTTAATTTATAAATAAGCATTACTGCTTTCATTGGCAGCATACAGCGGCAAAACAGCATGGTTATGTGCGTAATGTTCCAAGAGTACCAGCAAATTTTCAAGGTACCCTTTCTCTTTTGGCCACTGCTTGGAGCCCTGCTTATACAGGATCAGATTATGCCCTCCTGTTCCACATACGTAAATAGGTCACGTGGTGGGGAAGGAAGGGGCTCCTCATGTCCTGCCCTATCACCACAGGTGTCTATCCTGTTCTCCCTGAGGTGCACAATATGCCACAAGGCACAGGGAAGAAATTAAGCCAGGTCTGCCCCACATGCATGGGACAGCAAAATTGGCTAGATTGACTAGAGTATGCAGCCTGAAAGCTAGTCCTACCTGCAGTTCTGGCATGATGTACCCTCAACATGGCACAAATGAGGCCATTGTTTTACAAATTGTTAGGCGCTAGGCATCTAGCCCTTTTGTAACTGCATGTCAAATAGGCAACACTTTATAATGTGTATGTGGCGAGAACTAACATGGGGTTGATGCTGTAGCCTTAGCCATTCTCCCAAATATTTCCACCCTTCTCCTGTAGAGGGTTGTCCAGTCCCATCTGCAGAGCTCTTCAAATGATGGAGCAACAAGCTGAACATGGCAGACAAATGGCCATTTGGGGCTAGCAAGTGTAAAGTGTTTTAGCAAAGACAAATTGTGTCCTGAGTTCAAACTGTCATCTTGGTGTGCTGGACCCTTGTATGACCTCTTTTTGCTTAGGATGGAGAGTGGGAGGAGGAGACTTTGAAATGAACTATGGTAAGTAGTCATTCTGAAATTGGATGAGAAGAGTGGGTGTGAAATGATTAGAAATTGCTAACCAAATTCAGTCAGAAGCCCATTACTCTGTCAGTGTGGGCTGATTCTCCACTGCCTCACATCGTAACGTGAGTGTAAAAATACTACCACCTCAGAATGTGAGCGTTTTACACCCATAAGTAAGACACTCTGTGGAGAATCTGATGCCAAGTCTAAATCGAGTATGGTATTTCATTGCTGTAGACCTCCAGGAGTTCTGTGTAGAAAAGAGTGCTTTATGGACATGTCTGGTTTATTTTGGTGGAAAGTAGTAGTCTGAGAAAGGCCTGGTTCTGTGATCACCTGGAGTGTCCAGCTGCTCTACGCTCTTGCTGAGAGGCCCATGCAGTGGCTTAGTCAGCAGAACAAATCCTCTTAGAGCAGATAATTAAAGGAGGTGGAAATGCATTAAAAGTAAGAGGCAAAGTTAAGTCTATTGCTAATAGCTGACAACAGGCTGGTCAGGTCTTTGGTCCTTCCTTGCCAGCCTGTTTTGGGAGAACAAAGGGTACTTATATAGGTCTGAGACTCTTTCATGCTGGATGAAAGATTGCTTTTGCCCTGGATTTCACTAAGGCTCATCACCAAAGCAAAAATAAAAATGCCAGTTAAATTAGTAGTTCTTCAGCTGTGATCTGGCAGCTGGATCTTTTTTAAAAACGAACTATAGAGTTAAAAATAAGCCAGATGAAGGCTCCTCTGGTAAATGCCAAGGTGCTTGCCAACTCAAATAAATTATTTTGTTTCATTTAAGAGAAAGCAGATCAATGAAAAGAAATGCTAATAATTTAAGTTTTTCCAACTTCTGCGTGGTTTTCTGGGTTTCTCTGTTTAAAAAAAATTTGAATATGATTATAAGTGAGATAATGCTGACCACAGCTTAATAATATCGACCAGGACAAAGTGTGTTGAGCATTCTGCAGTTAGCTGGCACTGAGCTGAGCGCTATTTTTCCTGGTTTACACTTAACACTGACCCATGATTTAATGGTAACTTACTTAATTGTTCACAAGTGTATGATGTGTCCTCACATACATACTCCTTTCCCTTTCTCTCCTGTTCCATATTCCTGTTTGTTTAAAAAAAAACAAAACAAAAAAACGTAGCCGCCTGTACTGTGGACCTTGAACTTGAACCTTGCCTGGCACCTAGTTGCCATGGCAGATTCTCCCTTTTCCCCAGGGTTTAGTTCATTGCTTAAAAACAGTATATTGCTTCTACGTACATGGGTTCTTTTCTCTGCCCCTTCTGAACTTCATTGTAGTCAGCAAGAGAGAGGGTTGTTTTTTTGTTTTGTTTTCCAGTTTACGTATTAGGTGGAGTTTTTACAGACGCAAGAAATGGCCCTTGGGGGAAAGTCGAGTGATAGCGAGAGAGAGCAAAAGAGCAGGTTCTTTGCTGTGCAACTGGAGCCACAAAACTCATGAAGAATTAGTTGGGACTCCCTGAAGAGTCAGGTGACAGAACTGCTGAATTGATCATTCCTGGAAGTTGGGGGGAGAGAGAGGTCTTAATGACATTTGCTGTCCTGAATCTACGTTTCCCCCAAGCTGTGTCTCTGAGTTGGTCTTCCTCTGCAAAGAGATGATCCCTAACTGATGGATTTAAGACAAAGAAAGGGAAGAACCACCACTTAACTCCCAGTATGTTCAATGTTTGTCTCTATCGTGGGATGCTCGCAGGAGTCCCAGCTCCCTTTGCATTTTAGTCCTTGAATTACTTTGGTGCTTATTTAGTCCTGCAGTTTCTGGCTTGTTGTTCTACATCTGTTTACATAAAGCTTAGGTCTAAAAATCTGTGGAATAATATTTCCCCATGTGTAGTAACAAACCAGGTAATCAGCAAAACCATTCAGACCTGCAAGGCTTACTCTTTCAAACAAGTGGCACTACATTTGAAATGGTTGTCTATTTATTCTGAGTGGTATTTAATGGCTGCTCAAAACATTAATTCCCTAAAATTTCAATGACCTCAATTTTTTTCAAAGAATCTGTGCTAATGACAGTGTAATTTACATAGAAGAATCAGTATGTGGTGAAAGTCCTGCTATGATAGCGCTTTCAAAACACATTGATGATTAGGTACCACAATCTTCTATAAATAGTTTTGTTAATGGTTGCTTAAGGTTGCTACGATGTATAAATGTTGTTCTCTGTCATTTGTCTGGCTGCGGTCAAGGCAGACCTTTTATAGTGAATTCTGACATTAACATTCCTATTATAACGAAAATGTTATTCCAGTGCCAGCCAAAATTACAGTTAATCTGTGTGTGTTACCCATGCTGAAAGATGGCATTTATGAAAGTGTAGGTTTTGGTATAAGAGAGGTGAGCGTTCATGGTCTGGATGCAGAAATGGACGCCAGAAACCTCCTGGAGTCTATTGCTGATTCTGATGCAGCATTCTACTGTGGCGTTGGGCAAGACACCGAACCTTCCTGTGTTTGTTTCCCTATTAATATAATCGAGATAACATCCCCATGATGTCGGTGTTGTTAGGATCCCATAGTTGGTATTTCTAAGCGCTTTGGTGAGGAACATATAAGCAATGTTGTATGAAAATCATCATGCATAGCGGTGTGCTTTTATTGTATTTTCCCCATGTTATAGGCACGTATCAGGAGCAAATTCATTCCCAATCCTTAATGGGAGTGTTGCTCTTGATGTCCAGTGGGTACAATTGGCCACTTAGGACCCCATCCTTGAAGTCAGTGTGAGTCTTTTTATTGACTAATGGGAGTTGCATTGACCCCCGAGTTAAAGTTCCCCAATCCTACCATCTAGAATTTAACCATTCAAGTTGTAAGCCAGCTCTTTATTTCACTGCTGCACCAACAGTAATAAGTGATGCGCAACATAAAACATTGCACTAGGATTATAATTCTCTTTATGCACATTCTTTCTAGAATGTGGCTCCTAACTGTTTCCTAGTATGCCTGATCTAACAAAATAACTTCTTTTAAAACTATGCCATATATAAATGATTTTTTCACTTATTTGAATTAGTTACATAATATCGCAGTTTTGTTCCTAGTCTCAAAGTGACTTACATTCAGCTTTGTTGTCCAGTCGCATGTATCTAGACACCCCTACCACACACACAGAAAATGGATTTTTTAATAAAGCAAGGTGAACATCAAATATTTGCTCCCATTACATTTCCTTTCCAACCATAGATTGCAAGGAGAAGCATTTAGTAAATATGTATGAATGTAGTTTTTTAATTAAAAACCTTTTTCATACCTATGTCAAATTAGAGTGAAGGAAAGACTGAGAGGGATGGGCTGCGTGGGTAGTTAGATGGAGAAGGGGAAGCTGAAGGATGAATGTTGTGATGTTTGTTGAATCTGTTGATTCTCTGTGGTCCAGAAATGGGTTCCGCCCTCAAGGTTTTTCTCTGTCCTATGTTCTGAACATTAGTCTTTCGCATATGGCTGTTTTTGTTGTGATTCATTCTTGGATTGTTGGCCTTTATGTTCCAGTGCTTTTGATAATAGAAGGCTGATGATTATCCATTCTGTCCCCATGCTACCTATTCTGTTCAGGTTAGTGATACTTTCAACTACACTTTGTTTCAAATTTCATTAAAACTTCTTTTATTTAGTACATTTTTTCCAGTAATTGGTTATGGTTGGATACAACCCAGAATGTGTAGATGGTCTCCTGCTTGATTTGTTTAATATAATTAGACTATAGCAGAACAGATAATAAAACAGATAATAAATTTAATAAATTGCAAGCCTTCTCTTGCATTTGAATTTTGGTATGTCCCTCCAGCAGTATTCCAGAGCTATGGTCGGTAAAAGATTTTTTTAATGTGTTCAGAGCTATAAGAAAAGCCCGAACAATTGAATGACAGATTTAAAGTGACTCATTTTTCTGTATGGACAAAGATGTATATCGTACATTTCTTGAAATGACTGGATAACTGGCACAGGCACATTTCCAAAAACGATGATTAAGAGAGCACATGGGTTTGGTTTTTATTCTAAATTTTGTCCATATCTCACCCTATTTGGGGGCAATTGTTTTTATTACATGTGTTTCTTAGCGAATTCAGTAGTGTCTATGCATCCTGAAAGATCATGGTGGTTTTATATGCTAAAAGATCCTGTTGGACACTTACAGATATACTTATAGATATAACCTGATTCTTTTTTTCCTCCTAATTGGTACACTTTTTTGTATTAAAAGACCCACATGTACAAATATTGGCGTCTTCTGTTGGTATCAACCAACTTCATCCACAATTTCTTTTCAGAAACCCAGTACGGGTATCTTTCTTTAAAGTTCATGTTGAGGTCAATGTTAGCCCCTCCCCTCCCACCCTCTGGGAACTTGTCTATACTAGATGTTTATATCTTGAATTAATTGGTTGCCAATTAATTTGAGGGTTTAAAATGTTTGTAAAGGGTAGTGTGTAAAGGCACACGTTTGAGCCAGGCTCCAGAAGTTCATACCCTCTAGGGCAGGCAGTCCGTCAACTTGAGGTAGAAAACTCTAGTAGCCTTCAAGAGTCTAGGCCTGCAAGGTGCTAGGCACCTCCTTGTGAAGTGCAGAATGTTCTCAGCATTCAGTGAGGTTCAGCACTTTGCAGAATCAGCTTCTGACTCAGCTCACTCACACTTTAAGGCCTCAGTTCTGTGAGGTGCTAAGCATCCTTAACTCCTACTGACTCCAGTGCAGGGACGCCCATCACATGGCCTGAGGGATATGTGCTGCCCACACCTACCCACTGCTGGTAACTCCAGTGTGGGAAGAAAGCTTATTAACTGCAGACTTTTATTGTTACTGAACTAAGTCAACCAGTAATTCCTAGTCACCTGTAGAGGAAAACACAGGCACAAGCAACTTGTAAGATTGCATGCATTTCGTTTTTGATAAAATGTACATACAACTGAGGTGTGACTCTTGGCAAATTGCCAATGTGCCTCCCAAAGCTTGGTCACCCCACCAAGCTGCTGCTATGATTTATTTGCATCGCACCAACAGTGTACTGGATTGTTCACACCAGTTCCTGCCATGAGGAGCTAATAATCTCTGCGGACAAACAACCAGAGAATTGGAGACAGGGATCAATGCAAGCAATGTGACTGAAGGAGTTAGGCTGTATGTATGCGCCCACTTTTACAATTTGCTGGGTGTGTGTGTGTTTATAGGTTCCTTTGATGAAGGGTGTTAGGAAGAGAGGGCGGAGGAAAGGCATTTTGCTGTCCAGAGGAGATCCCCATGCCTGAGGCAGTGTGGAAGGCAGCACAGTGGGAAGACAACGCAGAGAGGCTAAGGTCACACAGCTTGGGTGGAGTAAAGGGGGTGGGGGTGAAGCAGGAAGAGATGGGCCCAGAGGCAGGGAGCAGCGAGGTTAAGTAGGGCAATGAAGGAAAGGAGAGGGAGCTCACGTTGTATCCAGTTGGTAGCAGGAAGCTATTGGAGAGAAAGTAGTGGACTAGGTAGATAATATTTAAAGCAACATTTTGGTTGGGTTGACGACAATGAGGTGAGGATCTGTGTCCAAAAAGAAGAAAGTTGCAGTAGTTGAGGCATGAAAGGATCAGGGTTTGCTCAAAGGTTTGGCAGTGGGGGTAGAGAAGAGGGGCAGAGTTAGAAGTGTGTAAGTTGAAATAGCACTGTCAGCTGCTCTTGGTGCAGTCTCTCTAGGGGCCCCAGCTTTCTCCTAACTGGTTCCCTTCAATTCCTCTACAATTAGACCAGTCTGCAACCTCCTATCTTAACCTGAGTCTGTCAACCCTTAAACTCCAGGCCTTGCAGTCTCCTTTTGTCTCCCTGTCCAGAGCCAGCCTGGCATGGGGCTGTGACCCCTCTACTAGTACTTCCCTTTCACTTGCTGCTCTCGCCCCTTTAGACCTGGGCTGGTTGTCTGTATGGGTCACAGCTGTGGATGCACAGGGCTGGGTCAGCCAGATTGCCTGTAAACAGAAAAGATTCCCCTCTCCCTTCCACCTACGCTCAGTATGGAGTCTGCATGATTTCGCAACAGTGTCAGTGTGAGGGTAGGAGAGTCAAAAACGAAACGCTGGTTTTGAACCTGAGGAATGAGGTATAGGGTGGCATTACGCTGGTGAGCTAAGGGGTAAGAGGAGGCTTTAGGAGGAAGGAGAGGGAGAGTAGCTTTAGTCTGTTGGCAGCAGCTGTCCAGGGTGAGGTGTTGGAAAGATGGCAGAAACGCACTCTGAACCTAGGGGGAAGGTGAGGAGTCGAGAAGTAAATCTGGATGTTGGCATGGGTGTAGCTGAATTGTGTAGCTGGATCAGGTCACCCAAGAAACGGGAGGTGGGGCAGGGGAACCAGCAATGAATCCTATAGGGACATTTGAAATGAGTGGAGAGGAAGGGGAGTCCTCATCACTGAATGCCGTCCCTGCCCGCAATCTCCAGATGACATTCTGTAGTGAATTAGTTAACCCTGTTGTAGCAACCAGTCTGTGTTTGAACTAGTGAGACCAAGAAAAACAAGAACTGGTCTTCCATCATGGAATGTGTCCAAGCTGCTCTATGCGACAATAGTGATAGAAGTGCAGAACTGAACTGGGAAAGTCTTTAGTGTGTCATTGTCTGAGGTGATGGAGAGTCATAGGTGCAGGCAAATGCTGGAGTCTAGCTTCTTTCCACAGACTTTTCTGTCTTTTAACAAACACACCTCTCTCTCCTTGTTGTAAAAATAGCTTTTCTGCAGTAAGTTAATGCACTGCTGTTCTGTTTGCTTTGTAGCTAAACAGACTGAAGCAACATAGCTCCAACAGAGTTTTGAACTTCCACCTCACATCTTAATGGAGCATTACTTCAGCACTTTTTGATTTTTTTTAAATGTTTCATGCATTGCTAAAGTCAAGGGTCTGGACCCCATTTGGTCATCCATCGTACATAATGTGCCCTCACATAGCAAGCAATACCACAGTAGGTAGGCTAACATGAGTAGGCCCCTGCACATCACTATCCTCTAGTGTAGCAACTGAGCAGTAAGCTGTCTCATTGCTATGACTCAATCATGAGAGGTTAGAAACAGGCTGTACACAAAGCAGACACATCAGATTGTCTTGTGCCAAAAGAGCGTGTAAAATAAGAGTCCAGATACACAAGCAAACAAAGGGGAAGTTGCCTGAGTCAACAGCGTGCCTCCTAGAAAGTAGCAGGAGGCAGTGGCAGTCTTGGGACGGTGTTGTCACTGAACTTGAATTTGTGATGACTCTTGTCCATGTGCATCAAACATATGTTCCTCCATCTCCGTGCCTCACATTATTGTACCCATTCGTCCCAACCGGAAGCACCTACCTGTGGTCACTGAAACTTACAGTACCCTGAAATCCTTAGTCAGCTTTAATTTGCTGTATGCAAATATGCAAGAGTACATCTTTAATCATATGCTATTGCATGAGTTATGGATCCATTGTTCAGAGACGCTCCTGCTGCTGTGTCTTTGTTTGCATTTCTCGTATGCCTGCGAGCCCAGATACAAAGTACAAATCCTCCTTTAAAGGTACGAAGTTCCAATTGTAAGGTTGCATCATCTTCCACAGCTCTTGGCTGGGGGTAGGTTCAAGAGAATGATCTTTGAGTATTATTGGCAGAGTTTTTCTTTTATTTCTAATGACCTTGTTAGTTGGATAACCTAAAGTATGAAATATTTTTCTACAAAGACAAGATATGAAACCTCAGAACACGTGGCTTAAGGCCCTATAGGAGGGAAGATAAAAGGTGTCATCCTGTATTGAAAGAAACCAACAATATTAAAAACAAACCAGAAGACTAAGTTTAGGTGCTGTAAACTTACTGGTGACCTAATAGGTTCATACTTTGCAGCTTAAATATTGAAAACATGGCCACTACATAATGTATCTGTGTATGCTATATAGGGTTGCCAACTTGTCTAATCGCTCAAACCCAAACACCCCTGCCCCAAGGCCCCGCCCCTGCTCAATCCATCCTCCGTCACTTGCTCTCCCTCACAGTCACTCACTTTCACTGGGCTGGGGCAGGGGGCTGGGGTGGGGGCTCTTGGCTGGGGGGAAAGGCTGAGGGGTTAGGAGTATGGGAGGGGGCTCTGGGCTAAGCCTGGGGCAAGGGGTTGTGGTGCAGGGGGGTAAAGTGGTATCAGTGGATTAGCCTTAGAGGGATTCCAGTTAGTTGTTCAAAATTTTGTTGGCGCAGCCAGCAGATGCTATATCCACCCTACCAGCAAGAAGTGAGACAGTGCATTGCGTGTGGTGGAATAATAATTAATAAAAGATGAGAAACAGAGCGATTAGAACAACTGTCCTGAAAAGAGGCTCTTGGAAACCTCATTTATAAAGAGGCAATTGAATACTGTCTGAAAACAGGTGTCTTGGGAACAGGAGAACCTGGAAATATAGCCTTTTGTGAGGGTAAGATGGGGGAAGCAGTCTTGTGTGGTGTTGGGCCACCAAAAAAGCCCTTAGGCAGCACCACTGCATCCCCCAGAAATGCACTCTGGAGTATTGTCTTTTTCAAAGTTTTATTGTTTATTATGTCTATTTAGACAAATGTGCTCTTTCTCCCTATATTAGCACTTGCCTGTTCTCTTCCCTTTTGATACAATGAAGGTCATAAACCATTTCTTATATTTCAGTCTGGCGTTATGTTTATTTAACTTATGTGATCTAAAAACCACTGTCAACTAGCAAAACTAAGATCTGTTTCACAGCTCTGATGTCCTGGGGAGCTGTGATCTATAGCTGATTTTAAGTGTAAAACAAAATAAAATGCAAGCAACATTTTCCCCTGATAACTGACTCTTTAAATGTCTGATGCCAGGACACGGTATTCTGTAACCATCTGTGTTTACTCCAGGGGAGTTGAGTCCCCTCAGCCAATGGAAAAGCTCCTTTTTCACCGTGAAAGGCCTATTGGAGAACTGTCAGAGTACTCGCTCTCAGATGTTTTTGACCTCACGATTACCAATCTAATCTAATCCTTCCTCCACCAATTATTGTGATATCTAGGCCTCTTCAGGAGAAGTGAGAGTCAGCTCCAGTGCTGGAGGCAGGTTTCTGGTTTGGGGACTGTATGGCAGATGAGTAAGGATAAGGTAAGACTTTTACAATACACATTTAGCAAGATCTTTATTTTCACCCATGGAAACCAGACTGAAAAGGCCTCAAGCAGAGATGGATCAATATGTATCTGACTCCTGGGTGTGATGCTATTCTGAGATGTTACATTAGCTGAATCATCATTGACTGGTGAATCATCATTCTCAGAATCTTAAAACATTTTTGATTCTGAACCCTGCATTCCAACTCCTGTAGCCATCTCAACATACCAGAGACAAAGCAAATCCATAAATAATAAAGCTTTTTATTCTCATCAAAGTGCAAGATACGAAAGCAGCATAATATGTTCCATTGTATGGAACAAGAAAATAAACTTTTCTTAGGCTAAGAATCAGGCTCGTGTTCCTGTAATCTGAAAGCTCTGATGTCCAAAAACAAATGGATATTATTTTATTCTTGTGTAATAACAGCTAGCTTTCCAGCAACGCAAATTGTAACCACTAAATTTACTTGTATAAGCAGTACAGTCAAATTTCACTTGCAATCTAGTCTGTTAGCAGAAAGTTTCATAATAAAATTCAGAAAAAGATAGAAGCAAAATATTCCATGAGTGAGGAATAAATATTTTTTTATTCCACTCATTAACTATAGGAATGGCAACTGTATCCCAAAAAACAATGGTGGAAGTGGTAGACAAGGTGCCAGCTCATGCCAAGGTCCCCAGGCCTCGCCAAATACTTACAAATGCAGAGCTGGAAACCGGTCTTGCTCACCTGTTTGTTAGCATTATCAAAATAGACATTACAGTTCTAACAATATGTTTAGTATTTAAACTTTATGGAACGCTTGTAGGATGCTGCATGTATTACTCCTACTTAAAATATCTGTATCCCCATGTTATAAGGTAAGGTTTAAATGTTTGCTCTGTAACTATAAAAATGTTTAAGACTGTAAATTCCCCAGAGTCAGGGGAGAAGCATTACCAAGTGTGAAATATTAGTTTACCCCAAGAGGTGTTATCTCCTGCTCATCAGGAAGGAGGCTTGAATCCAAATGGGCCATTGTGGAATAAAGACTTTGTCAATTGCTCCCTTCACCCATGAAGAGGTGTTGAGCCCTTGTCCCATCAGCTTGGATTCTTGGGGGGAGAGGGGATAAAAATCCCTGACAAGGAGAAACTGGATCTTTAATGCTCTCTGGACTCCAAAGGGCAAAGATTCCTATACATAAGCAAGAGATGCTGCTTGGCCTGGGCCAGCCCTAAAGGACATTTACAGCTGCTTATTTTAGAGGCTTATATTACCTTTTAAAATCCAAGACTGTAACTCATTTGTGTATGTATGTGTCCTGTTTTGATCTTATAACTCATTTTTTTCTTAGTTAAATCTTTAGTTAGTTTATTACAAGATTGGCAACAGGCATTGTATTTGGTTTGAGATCTGAGTACAATTGACTTGGGGTAAGTGACTGGCCCGCGGGGACTGAGAGTAACCTGCATATTGTTATGATTTTTGGTGTATAGTGACCATCTATCACATAGTCCAGCTTGCCTTGCAAGGGGACTGTCTGTGACTCCATGATAAGACTGTTGTTATGCTTTAGGAGTTCACACTTTGTTACTGGGTTGGTGAAACCTAATTGTAGAACATATACCCAGTTTAGGGTTTCTGCCCTGCTGTTTGACAGGCTGCCCTGAGGTCCACATGCATGGACTTGAGTCACTCCAGACAGCATGACGGGAAGCACTAAAGTAGTTCAGTTACTCTAAGTCTTGCTGCAGTATCTCAAGTAGCTAAAAACATAGGCGCCAACTCTGTGGGTGCTCTGGGGTTGGAGCATCAATGGAAAAAATGGTGGGCACCAGCAGTCCCCCATCAGCTCCCTCCACCATGTCCGTCCACCGGTGGGGCCCCATAGATCCGTGCCTCCTGCCCACCACAATCAGCTGTTTCACGGCATGCTGGAGGCTCTGGGGGAAGGGAGGGGGTGCAAGGATGTGGGGTGCTCTGGGGAGGGAGTGGAACTGGGTGGGAAGAGGAGGGGTGGGGCCTTGGGAGAAGGGGTGGAGTGGGGGCAGGGCCTGGGGCAGAGCCGGGGGTCAAGCACCCCCTGGCACTTTGGAAATTTGGCACCTGTGGCTAAAAAGTCCAATTCTTGAGCAACAGTCCTTGCCACAGATAGTACAGGCATAAGGACAGGACCAAAGGATGAAGCCTGATACTTTTCCTGTCATTGCCTTAGTGCGAGGGCCAAAGTGTGTCAATATTTGATCTATCAGCAAGGAAGCTGCACTGACTGACTGGATCTACATGTTCAAAAAGAACTTGCAGTCTTTGAAGAATGACCCACATCAATGCCTTGCCAGCAACACAAGGAGACAGGTTCCTCTGTAGTTATTGCAATTACTCAAATCTCCTTTGTTTTTATACAACATTATGATGTTGGCATCCTTCATGTCTTGTGCTATCCTGCTTTCCCTCCAGCAGGCAAGCAAGGCATTGTGAATATGTTTTAAGGCTCCACCTGTCCTCCTTGTTTCAGTACTTCAACTGGAATTCTGTCTTTTCCTGTAGCCTTTTCTGGTGCCAGGCAGGTGATTGCCTTTTCAAGCTCACATATACATGGTTCTTTATCAAGCTCTTTGATAGTCTGGGGATCATATTGACCGCTTCGTCAGAAACGGTGGTTTCACACTAATAGAGTTCGTGATTGTGTTCTACCCAGTGTTCCATCTGTTTGCTTCAGTCAATGATGGTATCTCCATTACGAGATTTGAGTGGGACAGTCTTCTTGGCTGAAGGCCTATTGCTTTCTTGGTTCCATCCTACATACCTCTTAGAACTCCATTCTCAAAGGACATTTGAATCTTCTCACACAGATCAAACCAGTATGATTGAGCACGTTGCCTTGCTGTACGTTGCAATGCGCCATTGGCCACACCAAGGTTAGCACATGTCTCGGGAGAGGGCTTCGTATTTTGGTGGTGATATGCTGTGAATTTTTCTTTAATAACTATACTATAGTGCAATATGCTAATATAATGCATAGTTTTGCTTCATTAACTACAGCATAGTACAAATTCACTCATGGTCATCTTGTCCTCTCTAATTACAGATTAAAAAGGAATATTTGGTGTCCATATACAGAATATTCCCTGATTATATCATACGAATGGGAAAGAGACATTCATTGAACATTTTTCTCCTTCCCAATGCTATCAGACATTTTTGAATTATTTGAGAAGCAGCTCTTTTTTGTGTTTTTCCTAGGTAAAAATTACTTTTTCTAAGTAGCTTTCTGACTGGAAGTTTTGATTCTTGAAAGGCAGCTATAATCAATATTTCATCCAGGTGCCATGCTAACATAGTATGATAAGACTGTACTCCAAGTCAATAAAAGAGTCAAGGTACATTACAGATGTTGACTAGATCACTTGATTTTTATGACAAGTGATGACTACAATGTACTATTAAAATATGCTACAGGGTTGCTCTATCTAAAGATAAAATGGTTAGCTAGTGTCAGCAACTTTGATTCTCCGTGAGTTCAGGTAGTTTAAGCCTTTCGCCAGCAGCTCCCATTGACTTCATTTGTAACTGTGGGTGCTGAGCATCACAGAAACAGGCTCAGAAGGTACTCCAGCTGGCAGGGAAGGCGAGGTTATTGCGGGACTGTCAATGAGTCCTGGCACCAGTTTTAATAGATGACCATCCATTCAAATCAGGGGAAGGCAAGGACTGAGCATCTCACACCTAGTATGTCAGAGAAGTGTGCTCTTCCAGCGTGACCATATGTAACAGGTCTGACCTTGCCCTCTACTGATTTGAAAGGACATTGTGATGAAACTTGCACATGCCCACATCAGAGAAGGGTTCAAGAAAGATGGAACTAGGTCAAACGCCCCCATGCGCTGCTGACATTTTGAAGCAGCTCCAGTTTCTTTGCAAATACTGGTGCCTTTTAGGGTTGAGTCATCTGTAGATGCTAAATATTATGTCATCTTAGTCAAAACTTAGGCTTCAAGCACTTGCGAAACCAAAGCTGCATGAGCCTGCTAAACATGTGGGGAGGGGAATGTGCGTTCCCAGTAAAAGTGATAAAGTAGTTAAAAGTAAAGTTAGTTAAAAATATTTGGCTCCAGAAATATCTTCCGGCACCACTTTGATCCAATTTACAATGGTCTGGCTCAGTGAAGTACGACAAGAATGCTCTGAAGATATTTGATCCAGGATGTGACGTGATGGGGACTTGTGCATTAGGGCATGACAGAAGAGTGGCACTGAGCCAGGAAACCCTCCTGACTGAGGCCACAAAACTATGAGCCCAAGGTCAGCTCGGCTGCCTTGTGGTTGGGAATGGATTAACTCTGAAAGCGCACGCTTGTGGGACATGCCATGTGTGGCATTAGTGCAGGGGTGAAAGTAAGGGGGTACAGGCCGGTATGGCATACCGGTAAAAGGTAGCTGCCAGGACCGGCCCGTAGCGCTGACTTTAAAGCGCCGCTTAAAGCGCTTTAACGTCGCTGCCCCTTTCGCGCCCCCGCCGGGTCCCTACCAGCAGGGTTGCCAACGGGGGGGCCCAAAAGGGGCAGCGATGACCCAGCTGGGGGGCGCAGAAAGGGCAGCGATGTTAAAAAGCTGCTGTGTTAGCTCTTTAATATCGCTGCCCCTTTTGCCCCCTCCCCTGGCTGCTGACGGTGGGGGGGGGGGCAAAAGAAATAGCTGCCCCAGGGCCACGATTTAAAGGGGCCTGGGGCTCCGGCCGCCTCTGCCGCTACCACGGCTGCGCTGGCCAGAGCCCCGGGCCCTTTAAATCGCCACTGGAGCCACGGGCGGTGCGGGCCAGGGAGCACAGATGGACTGGCTGGGGCCCTTCTGCCTGAGGCCTCGCCCCTTTGTGGGGGGGGGGGAGAGCGGCCCTGTACCGGTAAAATCTGCATTTGACTTTCACCCCTGCATTAATGCCTTGAAAAATATCATACAATAGTGCACACAACCCTCACAGAATGCACCACTTTGGCAGTGGTGACCCATCT